TTCAATAAAACTTACTTTGTCAATGCAGTGAAAGTGTAGAATTTTCCCGGACTTTCAGTTTGACAAATAAACACTTCTGACAATTTAATAAAAGATGATTTGACTCACTTGGCGCTAGTTGGAGCAATTTTAAAGGACAAGTGAACTGTTACACTTTTCCGGAAATTTTTCACAAAAGATCCGGAATATTTTTTAAACGCAAATTTCAACAAAATGTAAACAATGATAGAAAACAATAATAATAACCTCTCTTATCGTTTAAAATAGCAAAAACAATGAAATTAACAAAACACCTACTTAAGCAACGCATAAAGACTACTAAAAGCAATTTAAACTAAACAATTTCAATGTGAAAGGCAAAAAGGATTTTAGCCTCGGAGTGATAGAACTGATCGGGTTGAGGAATAAATGGAAATAAAAGTTTCAGACCACAGTTCCGGATTGAAATGCATCCTGTGACGGATTGGTATGTCTTATTCAAATTATAAATTTCTCCAAAATAGAATTAAAATTGTTTCAAATGGAAGTGTTATTGTATCAACTATGTTTCAAAGTGTATTTATATACTAAATAAATACAAATGAAGCGAATGATTATTGTCTTATCATAAACGGAAACAGGTAGATGTGGTGTTAACCAAAACTACTGAAATAAAAACATTCACAAAATTCTATTGGTAAACATATGAAAACAAAATCATTGTCGCTTTTTATCATTAATGTTTTATTCTTACATTTGCATGTTCAAATATAGCCTGTATGTGGTGATTCGTAGTAAAAATAATCATTTTAGTAAATCAGAGATTTTGTTTTATAAACTGCATAACGCTAAATAAGGCAATTTTTATGGAAATTAGACCGTACAATTTAAATAAGTTTAATATCTATTCTTTCATTTAAAAATATTTCCAGGTGTGTGTTCTTTGGGTGCATTAAACTCCTTAACTAAGCGTCTTTTCAGATTTCGCTGCTCCACTATTTTGATTTTGCCATTTTATAAGGGACTTTCTGATTTGAATTTTCCTTGGAGTTTGGTATTTTTGTTATTTTATTTTTTTTTGATAAAGGAAAAAAAATATATAAAAGAAAGGCTCATCAAAGTTCATGAGCAGTGTATACCAACAGAAAAAAAGAAGATATACAAATTATGACACAAATTCTAAAAGAAATTAAACTGCAAAAATGCTGCAATTAATCACACTGTATGCACTTCCTTTAAAATGTCTTTTCATGCACAATGCAGGTGAAAACATGGATAATTTCAAATTAGTTGATAGGTATATTGACATTTTAAGGTTATGGATAAGTTATAATGACCTCTGCCACATGTTTCGCTAAGGACACGGTCTTTCTGTCTGTACCAAGCAAGTAAAAAAAGTAACTCAAGATACCGTTTTCCCAAAAGCTTTCATACATGGTAGAATTTATAATCTTGACCACGAACGTCATTTAAATTTCTGCAGTTTTGGAAGACATCTAGGACTTTCACATTATTTGCCATATGAACCCTAAAGCAAAAGAAAGAACAGATTGACTTTTTTTATGCTTGAAAAAATGTATCTTTGACACTGAGTATGTGGTATTGATAACATCCAGAAGGAATATATTTGAAATGAATGGGTTTGAATTTCCAAGAATAAAGCAAAAGTAGTAAAACACAGTAATTACTTTGTTCATGTATAAATATACACTTGCATACCTGTCAACCTATGAAAATGAAAATGCAGGTCTTCACCTGCATTGAAGAAGAAAATCTCAGGTCATAACTTTTTCAGCTGAATTTGAATCTTTTTATATTTTAAATTGAACAGTTTCCAAAACATGTTTACTGAAAATAAGTTAAAACTTTAATTGTATATTTTCATTTCATTCATAAACCATTGAAATATTTATGTATTTTACTATATAAATTCAAGCCAAGCCATACCCCCTATTATTGCTTTCTTTATCAGTTCATAAAAAACCCACAAGTCACATGTTTTATAGTATGCTATACTTTTTTATGCCATAGCGGAGGGGGCATTAAGTTTTACCTTTATCCATACGTTCCAAAATTGGTTTCCGTTCTCTAACTTTAGTTTGCCTCAACCAAATGTTACGAAACTTATCCACAATGCTTATTACCACAAAACACAGTTCGAGTTTGAATTTTAGTGGCATCACATTTACCCTTCGAGAGTTGTGCCCCTTTACAAATGAAAAAATTGCTGATTTTTTTGTTTCAGTTCTCTAACTTGAGTTTGCATCAACCAAATGTTATGAAACTTATGCACAATGCTAATTACCACAAAACACAGATAAAGATTGAATTTTGATGGCATCACTTCTAATGTTCTAGAGTTATGCCCTTTAAAAATGGAAAAATTGCTGAATTTTTCGTTTCACTTTCTGTTCTCTAATTTAAGTTTACATCAACTAAATGTTATGAAACTTATATACAATGCTTATTACCACAAAACTCAGATCAAGTTCAAATTTGGGTAGTGTCACTTTTACAGTTTTTGAGTTATGGCCCTTTATCATGTTATATGCAAGCGGGGGCATCATCTTTGTCCCATGGACACATTCCCCATTTATTTTTTCACTTCCATAGTATACTACTAGAACACACCCGCGACTGAATTAAAGTACCTACGTCTTATTTTGAGACTTGATTTTTATACGCCGGTTTACGGGACATATTATGGTATACCGTTGTCTGTCTGTCTGTCCGTCCTTTGTCAACATGTTGGACAATAACTCAAAAACGCTTTCTGCATGAAACTTTGGTGAATTGTTTATATCTATTGACGTTTTTTATAAATTTTAGGTTTTAAGTTTCCGAGTTATGATGGGGTTTAATTCATTAAAAAAGGGGGATTTTCCAGTTTTCGGATAATAACTCAAAAACACTTTCACCAATTTGCAAGAAACTTTGGTGAATTGTTTATATCTATTGACATGAGCTCCCTTTTAATTTCTATTAATTTTTGATTTTATGTTTCCGAGTTATGGGGTTTTATTCATTAAAAAAAGGGGGATTTTCCAGTTTTCAGACAACTCAAAAATGCTTTCAGCAGTTTTCATGAAAGTTTGGTGAATTGTTTATATCTATTGACATAAGCTCCCTTTCGATTTTTATAAATTTTAGATTTTACGTTCCCGAGTTGTGGGATTTTATTCATAAAAATGGGGTGATTTTCCAGTTTTCGGACAATATCTTTAAAGTGCTTTGAGCAGTTTTCATGAAACTTTTTCATAAATTTCTGAAATGACATTGAGAAGTTATTGAACTTTATTCTTTAAAAAAGCGACGGGCGTATCATGCACTCATGGCGCAGCTGTTTATTAGTATTTGTATTGTCATCTGATAAAGTCGTGCTGATTATAAGGTGAACAGTTTTTTCTGCTTTAAAAATCTTTCTATTTGAAACCCGTCCTCGTTTTCTTACTACAACCTGGAACAACATGTGACAATGATTGAATTTAGTAGTGTCAATCCCTGTATAATGACAATGTTCAGGTGTGATTATGACCAGTGTATATAGCAAATCCCAAATACACCGTTTGGTGGTGCGCCTGACAGAGGCGGAATGTACAGATTAGGTAACAGGTGACATATACTATTGGTATTGGTATTGGATTCGACCCGGAACTTATTAATAATTGGTAATAATAATTATGTGGAAAACAAAGGGGCCTTGAATGGTGTAATTTTTTTATCAACACCATGGCACCATGGTCCTATATTAGTTATATATAAAGTGGAATTCTTTGATTCATCGTTTTTACGTCATACCGGCTAACAAATTGGACTTCGTTATTTTAGTAGTATAGTCTGATATTTTTTTTTTTTTTTTTATTTAGAGATATTACAATACAGCTTGATTTCAATTAGCAATGGAGAGCAGTTGATATTAGAATATATATTTTAAGCATTTAAAGAAAGTAGAGATGCAAAAAATAATTTTCAAAATATTAATTTTTTAATTGTTCTAAGATAGAAAAAAAAAAATTTTAAGTAATATTCTGATATGTATTTGCGTTCAATTTGCCTTAGATTTAATCTTTTAACCAAAAAAATCAATTTAAGGAGTATATAATACTCTAAATAGTGGCAAAAAAGGGGGAGTAACTCAAATTTTTTTATCAAACAACTTTGAAATACATGAATTATTTATGACCTTAAGTGTGTTTGACACCAAAACTGCCAAGTGAAGCCATGCACTTAATGGGTCACTCAATTTGACAGTTTACACAGCTAGTTGAACTTCCTGTCCAGGAAAATTTACGAATTTGCCGGTATTTCAAAGGAAAATCACTTATCATTTCATACTTAAAAAGTCTGAAGGTTCAAGAATCTGGATGAAAACGGGTCATTTTCTGAATTCCTTGGTTTTTTAACAAACCCGGCTTGTATTTAAAAAATCCTGTGTGAGAGGTGAAATTTACGGGTGTCACCCACAGAATAAGGGTCAGTTGACAGGTATGCACTTGTATCAGAGATTTGCTATTTTTTAAAGTTGAAAAACTATATTCAGATTGAATCAAATAGGGAATGCATGTGCAGTTGAATTATTTTTGAGAAAGAATACTAATATCAATGGAAACAATGGTGATTGTATCCCTCAGAGCCGTCCGTGCATTTACCTTGTACTTCTGTTTTGCAGATAGGTTGAATTTTACAACACTCATTGTATTAGGAAAATTTTCTTGGCACCTATTAAACAGAATGATTTAATATTTGGTCTGCAGTTTTATAATGTTCATTTGTAATGAGTTATTAATTTTTACATCCACCATGTTGCCACTTCCTGTTTGTCGATATATTTTAAAACACTCATTGTCACATTTTTTGGTGTCTAAAATGAAAGGGAATGATCAGTAATGCTTCAGTATATATGTATAAATTAGTATTCTTTCATAACCAGTCAAGACATTTTTGTTTAGTTGTTGCTTTGTGATAATTAGTTTCAAAGAATTTAAATTATAAGAATAATAAAAAATTATCTTGTTTTCCAGTGATAATCTTAGAAAACTGATTATAGACAGAAAGACTCCAGAATTTGCAGCTAAACTATCAAAAATAGAAATAGAAAAAGGTAAGTAAAATGCTTGTCAGGCCTGTAAAATCTCAGTCTGCTTGCACCTGTTGGGCCTGTAGAAATTTCATAGTAGTCAGAACTTTGTTTGAGATCAATAAATGCATGTGCATGAAACATTTGGCAAAATAAGGTAGAAAAATATTGTTTAATGTTCTGTTTCATATGCCGGTAAAGTTTCTATCATCACCATTTTTACTAGTAAGGTTGGCTTTTTAAAATGCATTCAGTATAATGCTAAAATTAGATGCCAACTGACTGGGAAACGGATTATCTTTCCAAATCACTTGGACCATTTAAGACATGTCAAAATTGTAAAAGTAAGATTTAAAATAAAATTATGTTTGTTTGGCTTTTCTCTGACATCCCCAAAAAATTCTATTGCAATATCTAAAAATTATTTGTATGCCTCCGCCGTAGCGGAGGGGGCATTAAGTTTTACCCTTCTCCGTCCGTACATCTGAATGGACAGACGGACACAGTATATCATAATACGTCCCATAAATGAGCGTATAATAAGATTGGTCGTAATTGCAAATTACACAACTGTTCTCTAATGACCAAAGGACAAGGCTTTTAACAACTTAGGTCCCATACAGCCTTTATTGGCTTTAATAATGAGAAAACCCTATACTATACTACTTAGCAATACAAGGTCCATGAATATCAAAATGCAAAGGAACATCCAAGACTTTTTACAACACGAAACAGGAACTAAAGCACAGCCTAAGATACTCATTAAAACCTATTATAAAATATTTGGTTTTCAAAAATAATACTGTCAAGTGTCTATCTAAGAATAGGCACACTGTGGTTAATTAATCCTTCAGTTTAATCAATGTTGAAAATTACAAACTTTAACATGAACCTCCAGAAAAAATAATTTTAATTGGTATTTCATTTTCTAAATTGGACAGCTGTTCTAGTTACGTTTCAAATGAAGAAACAAGAATATTTGTTTACATTAAAAAAGTCTGTAATTTACCGCTCAATAGTTGATTGAAAAACAATCAGGGGAAATGTGCATTTCAAGTTTTCAACCCCCTATTACGTAAATAACAGGCCAAAAAAGGAGGGACTCAAGAAAGAAAACGATAGGTGAGGGGAAGGTTCATTTACAAAACATGAAACCATACACCTTCTCATGCATATGATAGACAATGAAAAAATACAAACCTTATCATTGATCCTATGCTAGTTTCAATATCTCAATGAACGAATGCAATACTCTTCACAATTTATTTCACTATGGGCTGGAGACGTTTGGAGTAAGAAAACAGAGACGGCTTCAGGGTCAGTCCAGGTACCCCTAAAACACCTGTGACAAGCTTTTACATGAATATTTGACCTCTGAAAGTGTCTTTATAAGGGACACAGGCAAAGGGCTTCAGTATTCCACTGTTGCATTTATTCCCACAAAACCCTAAGGTCTATGTACCCTGTGGTAAAAACATTGCTGTTTTCTCTCATAGACAGAACAAATATATTCAATCGTTGCAACCTTTCCTTCCACTACCTTGTAATCTTCTTCGTCGATTCATTGACCACAATTTTAATACTCATTGGTACCAATACAGTATGTCTGTACGGACTAAAGAAATTAAAATAAATAGGGAATGTGTCCATGGGACACAGATGATGCCCCCGCCTGCATATCATATAAAGTTATAAAGGGACATAACTGAAGAACGGTAAAAGTGACGCTACCCAAATTCAAACTTGATCTGAGTTTTGTGGTAATAAGTATTGTGTATAAGTTTCATAACATTTGGTTGAGGCAAACTTAAGTTAGAGAACGGAAACAAAAAATTCATCAATTTTTATACGACCGCAAAATTAAAAAAATTTTGCGGTCGTATATTGGTATGACGTTGTCATCGTCGTTGTCCGAAGACACATTGGTTTTCACACTATAACTTTAGTTTAAGTGAATGGATCTCTATGAAACTTTACCATAAGGTTCAATACCACAAAAGGAAGGTTGGGATTGATTTTGGGGGTTATGGTACCAACAGTTAAGGAATTAGGGGCCAAAAATAAGCATTTTCTAGTTTCCAGACAATAACTTGTGGAACGGTGTATGGATCTCTCTGAAATTATACAACAAGTTTCCATACCACAAAGGGATGGTTAGGATTTGCTTTTGGGGGTTATGGCTCAAACCGTTTAGGAATTAGGGGCAAAAAAGGGAGAAAAACAAGGTTGTCCTGGTTAATGGACAAATACTGTAGTACAAAACATAATTTAAAGCAGTGTAAGGGAGATAATTCAAATACATCATTTGAACTACCTCCCTTACACTGCTTTTAAATTATGTATAAAGTAATGGTTAATGAACAATTAAGACAATTTAAAACAGTGTAAGGGAGGTAATCCAAATACAACGTTTTGATTACTTCCCTTACACTGCTTTTAAATTATGTTTAAAGAAATGAATATTTATAAAGGAAGACCAGTAAAAATATCTGCAAATGTTGCATCTTTATTTTTTACAAAAAAATCCATATGAAAGATTTGACACCATATTTTAAATTCTATTATAAAATAGATTAAGTTAGCACTATGGTAAATTTAAATTGGTAATTATGGTTGCAAACTCCATTGGAATTTTGAATTGAGATTATGACCATATCTTGAGGGAAAGAATTTTTTGGGGGGAAAAAGGGGGGGGGGAGGGTAAAAAGAAATTGTGGGGGTCAGGGCCTAATCTAGGATTTTGAAGAGGGAGAAGTGGTCAATTTCTTGGAGAAGTGAGATTCCATTACCGTTTCGGTTGCATCGTGTTTTCATGCTTATCACTAAGGAAATTGTTTTATATTCAATAAAAGATATACTTGCAGTTTTTTCATATGTTATTGTACACAATGTATATATAGAAAGTTCTTAATAAAAAGGTTTAGACAATATAAAGTTGTTATTTATTTATTGATACCATTGTGTTCTAAATAAAATTTGTTGATTGGGACATGAGGGAGTAGCCTAGTAATATTATCATGATTATGATGCATTAAATTCATGTGCAACTGCCTCAATTTATTTAAGTCCAGAAAAAATATAACTCCCAGTTTTCCTGTTGAATTTCACATGACTGGGAATTTAATTTATATCACCACTTGTCATTATTTTGTAAAACATTATTGAATGTCCAGGACCGTGATTTTATCTGTTTATAGGTTAGTTGTAAATTGAGATTATCGTTAAAGATTGTAAGTCTATAAATGAAAATATTTTTCAATCGCATATTAATTATCCGACAAAGAGCTAATTTCTATTATTTTTTTAAAAATATCATCCATATCAACGAAATGGTCGTGAGAAACAATCCACTGCTGATCAACCTGGTCGAGTGTCGTACGTTTGCCATCACATTATCCATCAGCAGTCTTTCTATCTTTTATATTTCAATTTCTATTCAATCAATATAATAAATCTACCGTTAATTCCAACCTTTTACCTACCGAATAGTAAAACTGGTCGACTCGTGTAAGTTGTAAAAATAAAACAAATCAGCTGAGTGATTACGCAACATCCTCAGGTGAAAATTATCGTAAAATGATAACTTAAACAGACGGTCAGTTTTCCGTTTGAACAGTTTTGAAAGTTATATCCGAGGATGTTCAAAGTCGCCGTTGTATTTATTTAATTTGATCGTTGACAGTATTAGTCCTGGGTCGTTTCGAAAATCTCGATTTTCCTTGTCAGCCGCCATTTTTTTTACCTGTAAAACTTGTCAATCACAAGTTGTCTCCCTTTTACCGATTTTGATAGCGATTTGACTTCGCTATGAAGTCAGTCGGCCGGCGAGATTTAGCGATTTTCAAAATTCTTTGGCGACTTAAATCGTCATTTCGCCGGCAAGATTATGGCCTGGTGGGGGTCAATTTTTTCTCCTGTCAGATTTCAGAAAATAAAAAGAATTATTCTTCAAATATCATTTTTTTTTTCAAATTTCAATTATTGAAAAATTTCAAGTAGTAATCTTTAATTGCACAGTGTGGCGCATTAGATTTGTAAAATCTTTGACCACATTTATTTATTTGTTATGCCGAATCTAACCGTGTATTTAGATTTTTAATTTTGGGTCCAGTTTTCAAATTGGTCTACATTAAGGTCCAAAGGGTCCAAAATTAAACTTTGTTTGATTTTACCAAAAATTGAATATATGGGGTTCTTTGATATGCTGAATCTAACCATGTATTTAGATTTTTTATTTGTGGGCACCGCTATCAAATAGGTTTATATTGAGGTCAAAAGGGTCCAAAATTAAACTTTGTTTGATTTCATCAAAAATTGAATTATTGGGGTTCTTTGATATGCCAAATCTAACCTTGTATATAGATTTTTAATTTTGGGTCCCGTTTTTAAATTGGTCTACATTAAGGTCCAAAGGGTCCAAAATTAAACTTAGTTTGATTTTAACAAAAATTGAATTCTTGGGGTTCTTTGATATGCTGAATCTAAACATGTGTTTAGATTTTTTATTATGCCAAATTCAGAGCTGTATCAAGCTTGAATGTTGTGTCCATACTTGCCCCAACTGTTCAGGGTTCGACCTCTGCGGTCGTATCAAGCTGCGCCCAGCGGAGCATTTTATTCCATTTGTAAAGGGACATAACTCTAGAACAGTAAAATTGACGCCACCAAAATTCAAACTTGATCTGTATTTTGTGGTAATAAGCATTGTGTATAAGTTTCATAACATTTGGTTGAGGTAAACTTAAGTTGGAGACGGAAACGAAAAATTCAGCAATTTTTCCATTTGTAAACGGGCATAACTCTGGAACGGTTAAAGTGACACCACCAAAATTAAAAAAACTTTAGTTTGCCTCATCCAAATGCTATGAAACTTATACACACTGCTTATTACCACAAAACACAGATCAAGCTCGAATTTGGGTGGCGTTACTTCTACCGCTCCGGAGTTATGCCCCTTTATATCTCGAAAAAATGCTGAATTTTTTGTTTCCATTCTCTTACTTTAGTTTGCCTCAACGAAATGTTATGAAACTTTTACACAATGCTAATTACCACAAAAACTCAGATCAAGTTCGAATTTGGGTGGTGTCACTTTTACAGTTCTTGATGTATGCCTCTTTATAACGTTATATGCAAGCAGGGACGTCATCTGTGTCCCATGGACACATTCTCCATTTTTGTCGAGCCTGCGACTTTTGTCGCAGAAAGCTCGACATAGGGATAGTGATCCGGCGGCGGCGGCGGCATTAACTAACTTTTTAAAAGCTTAATATTTCAGAAGGTAGAAGAACTGGATGCTTTATACTTTGTATATAGATGCCTTATGCCTTGCAAGGTCCTCATACCTGTCAGACAGTTTTCACTTGACCTCGACCTCATTTCATGGATCAGTGAACAAGGTTAAGTTTTCATGGTCAAGTCCATATCTCAGATACTATAAGCAATAGGTCTACTATATTTGATGTATGGAATGATTGTAAGGTGTACATGTCCAACTGGCAGGTGTCATCTGACCTTGACCTCATTTTCATGGTTCAGTGGTCATAGTTTAGTTTTTGTGTTTTGGTCTGTTTTTCTAATACTGTATGCAATAGGTCAACTATATTTGGTGTATGATCATATTTTCCAATGTACATATCAGTCTGGTAGGTTTTATTTGACCTTGTCCTCATTTTCAAGGTTCATTGCTCAATGTTAAGTTTTTGTGTTTTGATCTGTTTTTCTAATACTGTATGCAGTAGGTCAACTATATTTGGTGTATGGAAATATTTTACGATATACATGTCAGTCTGGCAGGTTTTATTTGACCTTGACCTCATTTTCACGGTTCATTACTCTATGTTAAGTTTTTTGTGTTTTGGTATGTTTTTCTAATACTGTATGCAGTAGGTCAACTATATTTGGTGTATGGAATGATTGTAAGGTGTACATGTCTGTCTGGCAGGTATCGCCTTACCTTGACCTCATTTTCATGGTTCATTGGTCAATGTTCAGTTTTCCTGGTTAACTTTGTTTCTTAGATACTTTTAAGGAATAGGTCAACTATATTTGATGCATGGAATGATTTTAAGGTGTACATGTCTGTCTGGCAGGGTTCATCTGACCTTGACTTCATTTTCATGGTTCATTGGTCAGTATAGCATGTCCATGGTTTGGTCTGTTTTTTTATACTATAAGCAATAGGTCATCTATATTCTGTGTATGGAATGATTGTATTAAAGGTGTACATGTATTTCTGGCTTGGTTTATCTAACCTTGACCTCATTTTCTTTGATCATAAATGTTAATGTGATACTTGTAGTAAAACTTTATATGTAGGACTATCAACATAAAATCAATGGTCAGTATAGTAGGCCAGACATTTCAGCGTGTGCACTTTTGTTTATTTTATAATGATTCAAAATCTAGCTAGCATTAGTTACAAATGATGGCCAACAGCATGATAAATATCATTTTGCAGCGAGAAGAAATTGAAATGAATAAAGTTTAAAAAATTTGAAAATATACTGATTTGATTATCTGACACCCACTAATAGACATCCAAGTTTAACAGGTAGGATCGAGTAGTTGGAGTTCAACCTGTATTCAGGTTTAGTGTGTTTCGACTGTTAAAAAATTGTGCCTGTTAAATATAAGGTGGGACTCACAGTGGATGTCAGAATGTACAGGCCCCCCTGGCCTGTGCTTTGAAAAATTAAGCGTGAAGATTGGGACACATAATGAAATGATTTCAAATAATTAAGTAATCAGTATGCTTAAAAATGAAAACAACACGTTATAAATTTTATGCGTCCGAAGAGCTTTTATGGATTTACCTTCATCAGGAACTCTCAAAGCCAAATATTTGAAAGCAAAGGTGTATAAGAACCGTAACATTTGAAGAGCTCTAAAACAAAAAAGGACATAAAAAAGTAGCCAAATCCATCTAAGGTCAACTTTGCCTGAGGGAGTTGAAACCTTAGTTTCTAATAATTTCAAAATTTATTAACGGACAAATTTAGAAAGGTTTGTTATAAATTATGTCAGTACCGAAGTACTGACTATTGGGCTGATGATACCCTCGGGACTGATAGTCCACCAGCAGAGGTATCGACCCAGTGCTGTTAAAAATGAAAACAACCCGTTATAAATTTTATGCGTCAGAAATGAAGTTTATATTGTAGTATCCATTGTGTCTATGTCCTTATGAACAAGCTCTCAGATATTGATTGAAAAATGCATACGAAAGTATGCATCTTAGCGAAATTGAACATTTGTCATAGGATTAGATGAAATTGATATACAGGTTATTTGCTTTTAAAATGTTTTTATGCGGCTGTTATATACTTTTTAAGTCGTAAAATGATGTGTTGTCATTGTCTTAAGCTTCCATTGTCTGTAGCCATAAGGCATCCATGCAATTACTTAAAATTTTGAAAAATACATTTTGTTAACACAAAATCTCCAATAATAATGTATGAGTAGAACTGAAACACAGTTGTGCTTAATTTGTAGATATGCGTATTATTTCTTGGAAAATTTGAAAAAAAGAAAAAAATGTGGTTAAAAAGTATTTTTTGTTTAAAATATTTTGTTTTTTTTCGTCACAAATAAATACTTAAGAAATAATTCATGGGGGCTTGAATTTATATTGATTTTACCATGAGTTGGCCTAAAGTGCAAACCCGTGGTAAAATCAGTATGAATTCAAGCCCACATGAATTACTTAGATAGGTTTGGATGAATTTAAATGATAGTCTTACTTATGTTAAAAAATTGGCTTTTAACAAATTTTATCATCGTTTGTTTATGTTTCCTTGTTTTGATGACTTTCAGTTTCACAACCGTGCATTTTCCCATAAAATGCTTATATTCTTATGTCATCGTTCAATAAGGTCATTTACACCGATTGACATCGGGTAGATCATTCATAAAAAAGCATATTATGTGGGAGTATGATCGAAACAGCCCAAACAAATCATGACGTTGCCGATCAGCTGACATACAATATATTTATATTTTACCATGGATGTGTACTCAAAGCGTTTGAAGATTGTCATGTTAGATATAGGTATATATGTTTGATTGTTGCTTGCTCAAAAGATATATAGGTATACTAGGCTATTATTGATTGATTCCTTGAGGTCAAATTTATTTGTCAGTCACCATTTTTTGAAATGTTCTCCAAAATGCATAAAAAAATCATGGTGCTCGGATCTTTAGGAAATTTGATAGCTATGTAAAATCTAATATCCAGAATTATTTCCTGGTGTAAGATATATTTGTTAACCGCTGTATTCAAAGAAAAAAATTAAAATATACATATTTCTGAAACACAATCTCTCTCCCAAAAATATTGATTAAAAAATTGTCAATATTCGCTAACTGTACACATGGTGATATGATCCAATTATAGACTCAGATCAATATTGGATCCACAATGAAAATTTCAGATGTAATTTATTTGCCAAGGAAATCAAAATTTAAGCAAGTGGTTTTACCTCTCTGACAAGTAGATATGCTTACATCCACTAATGGAACTGTGGTGGATAGTTGTCTCAATGGCAATCATACCGACATCTCCTTATTTTTATATAAAAAGTAAAAGTCAAACTCTGGGAGATACATATATTCCATATGCCATGTATGTTCCTGGAACTTTGTCTTAATAAAAATATAAGATATGGTTTGATTAACTTTTCTGTTAAACACTAAAAATATGTACTCTATCTGTACATGGTTGGTATATGAAAAATATCTTTCTCTAATTTTTCCACTATTTTCACATTTCCCAACTGATTGTGAAAAAATTGTTCTCCTTTTTAGTGAAATAACTGTTCTCGGCAAATGATTGGTCGAAATTTAATTATGACGTCAAATTTTCTTGGTTTCTTCTGAATTTCCTTTTGTGACGTCATGAAAAAAGGCGACCATTTCTGATGAGGTCACATATAAATAAAACAACTTTCTGCAAATCTTTTGAATTAAGGATAAAAATCATTAGAGAAACACATTCCATCACTATAACTCGTGTATTATGACATTTCTCTACTCTCAACAGTTAAATTTTGATTATTTAAAAAAGCTCGGCAAATCTAGCGCTTAAAATATTAAAATTTAACTGTAATCGAGTGGAGAAAGATCGTAACACACTTGTTTCAGTGGTGGAATCTATATTTACAACACACATTTCACAACCAAAATGGAGTAAACATTTTTGGTTGCTTTTTGTATATTAGCTATGCATCAATGTTTCAATGAGTGTAAAATTATAGAGATCTGCATAGTTTTAATGATATTTTTTGCAATTTTTTATAGTAAAAGGAATATTCAAGTCTCTAAATAAACCACAGAAGACAGCTGTGTTAAAGGTAATTGAAATTATTTATTAGTTATTTATTATTTTTACTTGTGGTGTGTAACTGGATTTTGAGAGGAAGACAATTTTGATTTAAATATGATTGAAAAATTGATTTGACTTTTAGAATACAAACAAATAAGGAATGTTCTGAAATACGAATGTTTTATCTGGTTTGAAGTGGTTAAATATTTGAGCTGGGCGGATAGAAATCGACCGTATGCAAATGAATATCTGTTAACCTATTTCTGGTTGACAAATCTATACGGAAAGTCTGTAACTGTTTGAAAATTGAATTGTTATAAGAACCCTACTAAACAGACCAAAATTCATCTTTCATTTCGTATTTGAATGTTTCAAAATTAACCAAAGTCTCATACATTTACATGTATACGTGCACTTGCATAATGTTGATTTCTATCCAACGCAGCTCATTTAACATGAATTTAAAAAAAGATTTATAGAGTCACACAGGTATTTTACAGTGTTCTCTCCAGAACTTTTTAGCTATATCTTTACCATGTTGTAATTTTTATACGCCCGTCAAATTTTTGACGGGACGTATTATGTTTTACAAATGTCCGGCGTCCGTCCGTCTGTCTGTCTGTCTGTCCGGCGTAAACATGTCGCACCGTAACTTGAGAATGACTTATCCAAATTTCATGAAACTTAACATAGTTGTTTCTTATGATGGTCAAACGATCTGTATACTTTTTGGTGATAATAAGATTAAAACTTTTTGAGTTACGGGACTTAGTAACTAAAACAGGTGTGTGTTTTTTTTCACATGTCGTGCCGTATCTCAAAAACAATTTATGATTATTGCTTAAAACTTTACACACTTCTTAGTTATATTAATCTTAAGATCTGTATACTTTTTGGTGATGATTCAAAATTTTATTTAAGAGATATTGAGTATTTTGTAAAAAAAGGGGGAGGGGTTTTTCACATGTCGCGCCGTATCTCAAAAACGATTTATGATTATTGCTTAAAATTTTACACACTTCTTAGTTATATTAATCTAAAGATCTGTATACTTTTTGGTTTTGATTGAAAATTTTATTTTAAAGATATTGAGTTTTTTGTAAAAAAAAAAAGGGGGGTTTTCGCATGTCACGCCGTATGTCAGAAACTATTTATGCTTATTGCATAAAAATTCACACACAAGACGACGGGCGTATCATGCGCTCATGGCACAGTTGTTTATTAAATGAGTCTATGCTATAAATCATGAAGGTATGGAGGCAGTGACCCTTATCAGATAATACACTTCGGGACAAACAGTCTAAAACCTGTGGTATTGACCAACTGCCAGTAAATGAAATAAATTATTCATAAATTTTGTGCATCCTAAGAACTTTTTGTCCCCTGTATGAGGCATTGCAGGGGACATAGAAATACCAGGCGTCGGTCTGTTTTTGTTGGTTTGTCTGTGGGTCCTAGCTGTCTTGTTAGCGTTCTCATGTGTACAATTCTTGCCTGATTTTTAAGAAACTTTCATCATCGATTAATATCAACAATGTCTTGGATGAGCTTGAAAATCAGTGCTGATCAATTATTTCCAAAATAGTTATGCCCTTGAAAATGTTAATTGTATGGAAAATTGCATTGTAAGCGCTCTCACGTGTACAATTTTGGCCAGATTTTTATCAAATTTATTTCAAAGGTCTTGGACACTCAGGCAGTAAGAAAATCGGTGCTGATCAAATATTTTAAAAAGAGTTATGCCCCTTATAAATATTAATTATATGGAAATTGCATTGCATTTGCTTTCAAGCCTTCATTTCTCTTTTAAGATATTTATAAAATTTTAAAGAACAAAAAAATGTGAAAAAGATTTTGTTTGTTATTGTCCTTGGACAGATAAAATATGTGTAGAGCGGGGGACATTGGAACTCTTGTTCTTTTAACTGCATTAATTTACTTTAATCAGAACGCTCTAAGCTTAACATTTGAAAGTCAAGTATGTGTAAATACATTGCAACATTAGGAGTTATTTGACTAAAATTGACCTACCGTAGGAACTCGCCTATTAGTCGATCCGACTATTAGTAGGTTGCCCTTTTCAGCTCCAAATTCTAAGGATTTATTTAGTCTTGACCCTCGTATAAGTCGGACAAAATTTTGACATTTTTTTTGCAGCTGACAGTTACTGAACGCCGGTAAAACCAATGCAAATCCAGGAATTATATTCATTTTCTGCATGAATGTTTGTTTGGTTTGAATTTAGTTGATGTTGATTATGATAATTTATATTGCTGTTAATAATAAAGATGTATTCATTCCTGTTGTTTTGTCCACTGTTTGATTAGCCATGTGTGATTTTGTAGGGTATGACTAACAACCTAGTGTTTGAGAAAAGCGAACATAAACCAATATGAACCTGAAAAAATTAAAAGTCAATCAATATTTTTCACAGCACACATAACTCAGTGTTAAATGAGCATGTACACTTCATAATTCTTATTATATTGTAATGATTAAAGGATTAAAAAAATTAAGTGAAGCTAATCAACTTTATGTATATGTAAGAGAATGATAATCCCTTTCTTCATGAATAAGTACGAGCGTTAGCGAGTACTTATCATGAAGTAAGGGATTATCATTCTCTTACAAACTTAGAATATAGTAAAGTGCTCAAGGCTCAAATGATCTATTCAAGAATTAGTTTCATTGTCAGTGCAATGTTTATAATTGATGCATGACTTCCTTTTTCGGTATGTCATTTATGGATTAGTTTTAGTGATGTGAGGACTTTCTTATCATTTGAGAAATATTTTTAAAAAAAATGCGTTATAGATATTAGATGACACAACAGTAGAAAGAAAAGGTAGGAATTGTATGTTTCCTGATTGTGAGTATGAATGTAAATCATGTAATATTTCAGTGAGGAATTATCCTTTTTTTATTTACAGTTTAAATCAATTAATACATTTGAGTTACAACTAAATTTTATTTCACAGCCAATAATTTGGTCCGGCTTTTTACATCAAATACTGTTTCATTATGTCAGGGAAATGTTCAAAAATAATACCCTTAAAAGTTTTTAATATGTTCAAAATTAAATTTCTGTTTTTTTTTATCGGAATACATATATTGGAAATAACTATTCTCCCCAACCGCTGATCAAGTAATCAAAGTTTTGGTAAGACAAAGATTTAGGTTATTTTTTATCTGAAAGATTTTTTTCTTTTTTTTTGCATTGCTTTGGTATTGTTTAATTTTATAGTAATTTGAAGTTATTAATATTTTCATAATAAAATTCACGGTACCAATTTTACTGCACCAGTAAACTTCAACTTATTTTGAGATTTTTGTTTGTTTCACAATTCAACTTTTAGTCAGTTTCAATCACTGTGTGATAAATCCTTTCAATCTGATAAATGTGCTTCGGGGCAGTTGTAACTCATTTATAGAAACTCTTTGTTTTGAACTGTAAATAGACCCAAATTATAGGATAATCCCCTACTAAGAACATGATTTACATTCATTCTTCACAATTAAGAGGCATCCAATCCTACAATTTCATTGGTCGAGAGTACTTTGCTATATTCTAAATTAAAATAACCCCAACTCATTAGTGTCATCTGTTCACCTATCACTGATATTTTTCACACCTTTAGTGAATACAACCTTTTGTCTCTTAATTAGGGGTTATCAATGGATTAGATTGGCTTGTCAATCAATTTTGTAATTTTTGTGTTTACCTGAGACATCTTAATAATGAATAATATTTTGATCTTGGGAATGAATCCTAAAATTATTTTTGATTATTGTATGATTTATAAGTATTGAATTGATATCATGATATCACAATAATGACACAATAACTCCGCTGAAAACATCCTTTTACATAGTTGGTACATTGTTATCTCGTTTTCATTTTTGGTTCTTGGCTCTTTCTTTTGGGTTTATGCACAAACCATTTGACCATGAAAATCAATACACAAACCGGAAACAGTCGGAAATTCAACACGAATTGACAGAAAAAAGTTTACAAAGAACAAATAAAACACAAAGACAGTATTGTAGTCATTTATTTTCAACAAAAACTTTTTATTTCGGGATTTATGTAGGTTTGGCAATCACCAACGTAGTTTTGACCAGGAAATTCACTCCTGACCACTTTTCTCCAGCTTGGATTTTTCCTCTGGTCGCTGGAACTGGTCTATTAGTCGGTACCCCTCTCTGGATTAGGAATTTTACTCCCAATTTTCCGACTAATAGGCGAGTTTCTACGGTAAACAGAATAAGATGATGATGATGGATGGCTGCTTAATGTCCAAGGCTGATATGCATAAAACCACTTAAGTTAAGATATCCAATCGTAGTACTAATTTATCGTAGGACATGTAGAAAAATCTGTCCGTTCGGAACAAATCTTAACTTAAGAAGTTTTATTGTCGAGCCTGCGACTTCTGTCACAGAAAGCTCGACGTAGGGATAGTGATCTGGCAGGAGCAGCAGCGTTAACTAACTATTTATAAGATTTATATTTTAGAAGGTGGTAGACCTGGATGCTTCATACTTTGTATATAGATGCCTTATGTTATGAAGTTTCCGTCTGTCATATGTCCATTGCCCACCTCATTTTCATGGTTCAGTGACTACTTGAAAAAAAAGATAACATTTTATATAATGTTAATTTCTCTATTATTATGAGTAATAAGATAACTATATTTAGTATGTGCATACCTTGCAAGGTCCTCATGCCTGTCAGACAGTTTTCATCTGACCACGACCTCAATTCATGGATCAGTGAACAAGGTTAAGTTTTTGTGTTTTGGTCTTTTTCTAATACTATATGCAATAGGTCAACTATATTTGGTGTATGGAAATATTTTAAGATGTACTTGTCAGTCTGGCAAGTTTTATTTGACCTTGACCTCATTTTCATGGTTCATTGCTCAGGGTTAAGTTTTTGTGTTCTGGTCATTTATTCTAATACTATATGCAATAGGTCAACTATATTTGGTGTATGGAAATATTTTACGATGTACATGTCAGTCTGGC